CCTTCATACTGTTCAATACAGTCATAATTTCACCACGATCCCAGAGTCTACTTCGCATTTCGGGATCCTCAGGGCTTTCTTTAAGGACCAACTGCCTACCCATGTCGCTAATCCCATCATGCATCCACAGGGTACCGTCTGCCTTGATCTTAACAAGAGATTTCTGTCTGAGGACATTGAGAGCTGCCTCAGCGTTAAACCCACATCCATTCAGTACGTCAAGAACGTCTTCTTTCGTTATATTCATTCTGAGAAAGAGACACGCAATGTCGAGGAATACTTTCTTTTCTTCACTGTCTAAGGATTCGAAACTCAGTGCCAGAACACCCTGAAGATCGTTTGGTTGGGTGTTTTGCAGCTTCTCTAGTTGAGCTTGCCATTCCTTTTTCTCCTTCTTGTCATACAAGAGAGAACCAAACACTTCAATAGCTAGTGGCAAGCGTCCCGTTTTCTCGACAATCTTCTTGGACAACTCCAACAGATTCTCTGTTGGTTTTTCTTTCCGTAGTGAATGATAACTAAACAGCTTCAATGCTTGCATTTCAGTCAAGCAGTTGACCTCATAGCGTTGGTTCACTGAGAGACTACTCAAGATCTCTTCATCTCTGGTAGTGATGACTATAATACTTCCTTGACCATACCATCTTCTATCACCAATGAGCGCATTAATCTGGTCTATGTTATTAACATCATCTAAAACAGCAAGAATCTTCTTCTCATAAACCTTGTCTCTTATCTTTTCCCGACCTCTGTTAACATCTTCTATTTCAGGTGAGAAACGGAAAAGTTGATTGATGTAAGTTTTTTGTAGATTGACTAGGCCATCTTGGTCTGATGAACTTTCCCTAACGTTTGAGATGAAAACTCGGTGCTTGAAGTTTTCGACCATCTTGTTATAGAAGCGTTTTGCAAGGGTCGTCTTCCCATACCATAAAGTCCCAGGATTTGAACGTCAGAAGTGGATTTGAAATCGAGCAGATTCATCAAATCCTCTACACGTGATTCTAGCCCAACAGTGTATTCTCCAACTTCCTCAGGTGTATTGACCACTTGAGCTAAAACCCTTTTCACCACAAGCCCTATCATATCATCATCAACCGAGTCTTTTCTGTCAAATCAAAAAAATCCCAAAGAAATTTCAACAAAAACCAATTCATTGTGTCTAACTGCAGAAGAAGTTGTACCTCCAAACAAATCCGGAGAGATTTCCGACTAGTTTCATAGCTCCTCTCCATCGCTGTATCTTCTCCCCGCTGAATCTTTTCGCGTGTTCTTCAAAATTCTCAGCGAAATGACCCATCTGTTTGCGGACATGAGAGGGATCGACCTCATAAAAGATGGGTATCATCGGACGTTTCAGAGAAGCTCTGAGATCGCAGAGCGTAGCTAATTCATCTAAGCACCAGTGAGAGTCGGCGTACCTAGGGGATAAGACGACGACGGAGGCCGCCGAGTCCTCTTATGGCTGCGACGAGGCTTGGATGGATCTCATCGCCTCGGTTCATAATCTCGTTGTCGCGGAAGACTCGGACCTTTTGCCTTCCTCTGGAGCGCGTCATAGACACGCGCCGTGATGTTGTGGCGCGTGTCTTCGCCTCGGAAACTGAGGAAGACGTCGAACTTGAGCCTATGCGGCTTGGAAATAACGTCAGTCTCCATCTCTTCCTCTTCAGGCGACGTTGATCAACAAAGTCCCTTGACTACACGACGATGGTCATTTGCCCTAAATGAGAGTAATTTTCTCCTTTTTTTTTTGCCTTTGGATATGTTTTACTTAAGTGCCACTTTCTATTAACTTTTCATGTAAAAACAAAATCCTCCCAACGACGACGACTGATGGCATTTCTTTAGCTCTGGAACGTCACGCAGTTCCATGTCCATAGTCAGTCAGAACGACACGCAGTGTGTGAAATTCCTGAACGATACTTTAATAATAAAAATGTTTTATTTTATAAAACTAAAATGGTGTTATAAAACGATTGATAGATGTCAACCATGTAACATCTCATACAAATAACATAATCTTGTAGTAAATTTATGTATGTTACTATCTTTGTATTCTCCTTATAAAAAGAGATAATTATTTCTTGTAAATAGAACACAACAACAATATAACAAATACAAGTCTTCCTTCCATTTCTTCTCTATTCATAACACGTTATCTCTACCATTTGAGCTTTACAAGGTATGTTAGTATTTTTTAA